AACTCAAGAGTTTATCAGCATAGGCGATTCAAAAACTGAGCAGATCATCGAACTGAGATCCGTATCGGGCTAAGTCGTAGAGGAAACTGTTGAGAGGTTTATCAGCAACGGTGTTGAAAACCAAATCGAACAAAACAACACCTGGTAGATTCGAACTTCCGCGGGCATAGCTCAACGGCTTAGCACGCGGCCAAAGTCTGAAATTCATGCTCATCATGAGGAACCTCTCTCGTTCCTCATGAAGTCTATGTGGAAATTTCTCATACTATGGACGAGTCTGGTTCTCCTGTATGCGAAACGCCGAGAGTATCGTTGCGTCCATTAAGTCATCAACCACTATCATTATTAATGTTAATGATTCATTAACACCCACGAGAGTCGATCTGGAAGATACATCGAGAGAGGCTTCCATAAACGTAGGGGGTTTGGAAATATATTGCCCTGCATTGGATATCTTGTGAAACGTCTGGGTGTAACTACTCGCGATGTAGAAGACGGACACCAACCGAGCTGCGGTCGTACTAATCAGTCAAACGCTAGCGTGTGTGACACTCCACCTCTCGTAGTCCATTCATCCCCTCCAACGATGACTCTAGGCTTTACTCCTGCAGTATTCATCCTCCTCGGTGCTTTTAAGGACACCACCTACGTGATGGGCAATACCGCCGAGTGCGACGCTGACTGTGCTGTCACTTACCCCGGGTCATATTGTAAATACTGGCAGACCCCCAGTACTTGCTTTGGCTCGGACGACCCGTGTTCCTGCGGCACGAGCACAACGACTGAAGCCCCTCGCGACTGCGACGCTGGCTGTGCCTCGGATACCCCTGGCTCCTACTGCAAGTATTGGGATACACCCAGCGTCTGCCATATATCCAATGTGCCGTGCATCTGCGAGGTAGCTACCACTACCACGTCCCCTGGTGAGAGCACCGATGAGACCACTACGGTCGAGGAGGGCACGACTACCGGTACCGAGGCAACTACCACGGCTACCACTACCGCTTATACCACCGAAATGGTCAGTACGGCCGTGGTGACCTCTACGACAGCCGCCACCACCATTGAGGCCACCACTGCAGTCCTCTCTACTACGATTGACGCTCAGACTACTCTCAGTCCGAGCACGTAGATGACTCCGTCGAATGAAGCTTCGGACTGTTCGAACAACCGCATTTTGATGTAGCCTGCGGTATGTTTGCATGATACCTTGATAACGACCGAATGAGTGTTAATCCTCTCGAGTCGCGTTGTTAGGGCTTCTCAACATTATATGAGTATCGAGCTGCCACTCTGTCGTAAAGCCCGCTTGCAGGGTATGTTCGGGGTATTGGATGATGGTCCTCACGCTTGTCCAACTCGGTCAGTTCCTTAACCCGACCACCGAACGTTCAGAGTTGTGCCAAGATGGTAAAAGAGCCTTCTTGCATTCTCATCGTCGTGATTAATCAGCAGCCATGGGGCGTCAAATACGTGAACGCAGCATCATACACACAGCTTCTAACCTTCCCGCTGTCGAAAGCCTTATGAACATTTCGTATCAGCCCGAACAGAAGAACAGTGGATATTCCGAATGGCAAACTGCGGCCGCAATGTGAAAATTGTCCTCAGCAGTTGTTGAGCAGGTAGCGACCCGACCACGAGGGAGCTGGCCTCTTCCACTTTAATTGTCTGTTCGCTTTTCGGAATATGTGGGGCTGTTGGGCGGAAAGAAAATTGTCTAGCGACGCCGTTGAGGTCACCGGAGTGAGTCGGGCAGGACTCCTGCCGAAGGAGATCGCTGCCACGCAGAGAAACACAAAAACAACCAACGCTACCTTCAGAAGAGACAGGAATAACAGGGTCTGTTTGCTACTGGCGCTGCAGCCCAGCGAAGATACTGGGATGATAACTAGACCGAAGGTTACGGCAACCGACAATGACCAGTTATGGAGTGGTATGCAGCAGCGATTATTTGTTCGAGACTGAACACAAGTCTAAGGTGAGACTGCTGACTCACGGGTCAGGCAACGAGCACTTGGAGTGCTGCGTGGTTAAAATGATTATCAGGTAAAGTTGATGACGAAGGAGTCGTCAGTAAGGACAAGAAGAATGAAATGAGATGTCGAACAGATACGAAATCTCCACATTACTCCACGACGGAGGTTGACTTTTTTGAACGTATTCTCGGAACTTAGACTTTGACGATTTGGACGTCTCCACCGTAGACAGGCTGGGCATAAGCCAGTCTCTGAGGATTCCCATCAACAGTCACCGCACCGTGGCCTTTGCGGTCCTTACCGCAGATGAGGACACAATTGGCGATGCAAACGAACATGATGAATGCAGTAACGACCCAAAGTCCGATGAGAATACCCACACTCCACCGATTCAGAGTGTTAATAACTGAGGTATTGCTGCCGCACCAAGCACTGGCCGACGACCTCATTGGAGTTTTCGAGTCCTCTGCGGACTCGGCTAGACACGCCTGGAATGAGGCAGGGGTGATGCCCGAAGAGCGATCAGTGTTGAGCCATTTGTTGAGGGTCTTAGTAACGTCTCTGGATTTACAAAAGATTGGAGAGCACTGTAAGGAGCTACTTCCCTGAGTGAAGCCGCATACACCACCCCTGCATTCGGCATCATCGTAGACCAACGTGTAGGAATCACGGATAAAACGGTACGTACTGAGATCACGACCAGATAGGTTGTTGAGGGCGGGGCTGTTGAGGCTTCCGATCGAAACAAGATTGCTCAGGTACACTGACGAGGCAATGGCGATGACGCATAGGAGGGCAAAGACCACTCCTGCGAGGAAGAGGAAGGCCGTGAGGACACATCTGTCTTGATTCTTCGTAGCTCCACAGCCCAGGAGAGCTACTATGATCAGGACAATACCAGTAGCGACGCCGACCCAGATACGCCATTGAGTGAAGAGGCTCTTGAAGTCGGACACGAGGATGTAAATTGCCAAGGCAGTGACCAGAGCCCCGAGCAAGAAGACGATAGTATTAACGAAGTAGTTGATGAGTTTGGAAGTTGCAGTGCAGCAGCCAGTCATTAAGAAAAGGGGGAATGATCCTTACAGAGAGATGCTTAGTACATGCTCACTAAGGAGGGGAGGACACAGAGTGTTCACCCAACCCGTGCCTCTCAAGACAAGACAGGTCACCGACCGCCGTTGGCGAGACGGCCCGGACTGTAGGCCGCCATGGGCCGTCACTATTCCTCCCTGATGCTGGACTGAGTCGACTGTTAACCTCTTGAGGTGATGTTGATTACAGAGGAGTTCGTCCACTCTTTGGCATGATCACTTGGCCCCAGAGAGCGTAAACCATTGTGTTTGCGTGCAGACAACACCGCGCAAGCCCGGCGCCTACGCGAGTCGCGCTCGCCCACAATTGCATTGTCAGCACGCCAAAACGAGAATTCGACTTCAGAGACATCTCCTATTCGCCCGTCATGAATGGCACGCATGCTTATCTTGCCACTTGCGAGGTCACGCGTGAACGAACAGCATCGATCGACGTGAGGTATTCAGTGCTGCAAGAGGCGATGACGTTTCTAACTGTATAACAGACGATGGATCCCCGGTTTCCGTGCCCTCACGATTAGCTCTGCATCGGAGCCTTTCTAGCATTACCTCGTCACATACCGCGTTGAGCCTTATGTCACGGAATTCACTCGTACATTCAACACAACAGTGATGCCGCTGGCAACCTCGGTTTACGAGCTACGAATTAGTAAAAGCGAGAAAGCTCATCGAGGAGGATGCTGTGCTGAGCGCGATCTTAAAACCCTTAAACTGTGATTATGAATAGGACAAGTAGTTAAACACTGTTGACTACTTGTTTCTCGGCCTCTTCACCAGAACTATGAGACGTTTGAGGAACCTCTGCCGGGGTTGCGAGAATGACGCCACCCTTCACTTGCTTCTTCCTAATAGTACAAGCTAAGGCACCGTTGGAGACAGATAGAAGTAGGACGAGAACGGTGATGATCCAGACTCCAATGAGGACACCGATAGCCCAGTCGTCGACAACAGCGATGAAAGCTGTATTACTGATACACCAAGCCGTGTCAACATCAGCTCCTTGAGAGTCGCCGCTGCTGCCAATGTTTTCGAGACATGCGTTCAAGGAAAGCTGAGTAACTCCAC